TTCATTGTTATTTGTTACAATGATTTTAAAGTTAGCAGTTACATTTTAAATTAACGTTTTAGTATCCAAAATCGATCCTAATTTTAGGTTCAATTTTCGGATTCCGAACCTAATTTAGGACCAGCTGAACCGGGAACCGAACATTTCTAAAAAATCGTAGAGTATGGTTTTAAGGCTTCCACTTCGTTTCCCTTAGCTCCAGCCAACTAAGAATAGACACAGGTCGAAGGATGGCAAATCAGGTACCTGATTGTGCCTGGTTTGCCATATTTAGACCTGTGAGAATATCTAAAAGATCAGAATTAAAATTAAAAAAAAATTAAATATAAAGTATATATAGTACAAATATACTTTAGTAGATTATTTTGAGGATATAGTTTTAAGATCTTTAGTAAATTGATTTTATTAACTAAAAACAGTTGGTGGAAAGTACAAAAAAGATTTAAATAATTTTATAAAATTTTTTTAGATATATATAGTGTATAGTATATAATTATTAAAAATTTTTTTTTTTATAATATTAGGTTATTACACAAGTATTAAAGTAGTAATTTTGAAAAATTAGTTATTATAATTGCTATATATTGAAAGTTTATTTTTTATTAAGTAAACTAAACTTTATTTTTAAGTAAAATTTGTTAAGAATAATACTGTAGATTATATATAATTTCAAATTTTTAGAAATTTTTAAAAATTTTAAATTAAATACTATTATTAAGTATAAAAGTTGGATTTTTATTTGAATTCTACAGACCTGTAGAATTGAATAAAAAATTTTTTATTGAATTTGGTCAAATTGGTGACAAGGTATCTTTGGTCAAAGTTGTGTTAAAAATCTGGTGCAGTTCATTTTAAAATTCTCAAACTTTGATCAGCATCCACTCAACTCAATTTGACAAATTTTTTTTTATTTGAATTCTACAGGTCTATAGAATTCAAATAAGTGGCTTCGATCAAAGTTGTGTAGTAGGCATTTTAAAAATTTTCAAACTTTGATCGAAGATATCTCGGCACCCACTTGACAAATTTGGTGAAATTTTTTTATTCGAATTCTACAGATCTGTATAATTCAAATAAAAAAAGTTTCATCGAGTTTGGTTGAGTAAGTGCCGAGATACCTTCAATATAAGTTGTAGAAAATTTATAAATAATCGCAAATGTGTAAAGTTGTATTACCAGACAGTTTTCATAAAGTTCCACCAATTCGTCCAAAGCTATGTGTATATTATTCTAATTAATACAGTGATTTAAAATAAATTTACACTATATAAGCAATTTAATATTGTATGATATAATGATCATTGATTTGACAACTCTTCAGGCGAATGAACATTTTTTGGAACTGAAAAACTAATTGCAATACTAAAGCTTGTTCTTGTCAAAGAAATAATTTGCTATGCATAAGAATGTGTGGGTGTTTTGCACAACTACTGTAAAAATAGTTTTTTTTTTAACGAAGTTTTTTTTTTTTTTATGAAATTTTTATTTGACAAAATTTATGTAATCATAAATTTATATTCTAATACATTATTTTTAAATTATATATTATTAAGTCTAATATAGGTGACCCTTTTCACTTAGCACTTGGGTGTGACCAATTATATTTGACAAACAAGCATGTACTATATAAACTATATAATAAATACTTATTTGCCAAGTCTAATGGTTGGTCACACCTCAGTGCAAAATGAAAGGGAACTTATTTTGAAGCGAATTAGTAAATTATCATAAAATTTAGTTGATAATCAAAATTACTTATGTTAAAATTGTAATTATATTGTTTTAACTCGATTTATAATATCAATGCTAATTTGTTATCGATTTGGAAAAATTTCCCTCCGAGAAATATCTAATAACACGTTTTTTATACAATCATCGGCCTTTATCAAAATGTAAAATAGTACATATTATCACTTTGATGTCAAGAAAAAAAAACACGACTCAAAATTTCTCCTCCAAACAATCTGACGTTCTTTTTAAGGGGCTTTAGATTGAACAAAAGCTAGCTTTTTTCTAAAGTAAATATCCGACTTACTAAATAGCTCTTTTCATCGATATTGTTTTTTTTACAATGATTCCTAATTTTGTTATCTTAGGACATCAGAACCTTGAAATTCAACTAATCCTAAGTTTTTACACAAAATAAACTCAACATTGTTCTGAAAACCATGAAAGCACCAAGGCGACTTATTAGATCTCCTTATTGATGTTCTACATTTGGGCAATTCACTATAATCATCATATTTAGGATCATGTAAATAAAGATCTGTTAACAACGAATGAATTGTGTCATCAGGCTAAGTGAATATTCATTTTTGATAACACGGTTATATAGTTGTAATCACTATCAACATCCTAAGATTACAAAAGTAAAAAAGTTTTGTTAAAAAAATTTTTTTTTTAAAATAACCATAACTGTTTATATCGTATTGTCACGAAATAACGCAGGGGTGAAATTACAAATTTTGGCCTAAATTAAGCTTAATTCAGGCCAAACCTCTAAATAACTCCCATTTATTTTGCGACATGGTACTATTTTTAGTTCAATATAATTTAAATGTATTAAACATTATGCTTCTATTAACGTTCTTACTGGAGTCCTGTTTATTTTTTCTTTACTAGAATTCTGTTCGTTCTTTTCTTTACTAGAATTCTGTTCATTCTTTTCTTGTTAGACTTCTGCTCATTCTGAAATTCCGTACGTTCTTACTAGAATTCTGCGACTATAAAAGTAAAAAAAGTTTCGTTAAAAAACTTCTATAAATTTTAACAAATAACTTACTAAAATATGCAAATTTAATTATTTATATATACTATAAATCACACTACAAAGAAGCAGAAATACAAACAGTTTGATCTTTATACAAAACAGGTCAGGATG